CAATAAGTTTATTTGAGGAATATTTAAAAGTCAAGATGGTTAATACTATTTCTAGTCTAGTGAAAAACCTATTTTATATCCTAATATTTTAAGTGTACCAAAACCTCCACGTTTCTTAGATAATCTAAAAGGAGAGCTCAGTAGGATATTACAGTTCTATTGTTATATAACACAGGTGAGAGGGAGACAGTCTGTAGTTTAAGGAATATATACTTCACCTTTGGCCCAGGCTCCTGGCACAGAGGTCCTAAAACCCTTGGGATTTCCTGACTGATGGGCCTGTCTGTTGTCCATAAAGAGCCCCTTTATCACCCTGGCCCCGACAGCTTCTGGAAGGGACTGGTCACCAGAGGAACCAGCCCTGTGATTAGAAGGTGAGCCGGGTGTGGTGGGACATGCCTATAATCCCAGCACTTGGGAGGCAAGAGGCAGGAGGATCACCGTGAGTTTGAGGCCAGCCTGGGCTATATAGTGAGTTCAAGGCCAGCCTGAACTGCACAGTGAGACCCTGTCTCAAAAAAAAAACAAAAAACAAAAACAAAGAAAACCAGGTGAGCATGTTTAGCCCTATGCTCCAAACATTGGGAAGGGAAGAGGGTCTGGAGATTTTAAGTCACCAATGGCCAATGAATTAACTAACCATCATGCTTACGTAATGAAACATCCATAAAAGCCCTAAACAACAAAGTTCAGACAGCTTCTGGCCGGTGAATACACTGAGGAGCTGGGAGGGCAGCGTGCCAGAGGGCACACATTCCCTTCATTGGTCTGCTGCTGGGTCGTGTCCTTCACAACACACTGGCAAACATGTAAGGTGTTTTCCTGAGTTCTGTGATTTATTGTAGCAAATGATGGTATTTGTCAAAAGGGGTTTCCTTGTAACTTGTGGGTGAGAAGTACAGGTGCCACAGACCACCCAGGTGACAATGGGGACCTTCTTGTAAGACTGAGAGCCTTAACCTCGGAGGTCTCTGCTACTGTGGGTAGTATTAGAATAGGACTGAACTGCTGAATATGCAGTTGGTGTTAGAGAATAAAAGACACCATGTATTTGGTGTTAGGAGGAAAAGCCAAAAACATAAAAACTTCCCTCAGTCCTAGGCAATGAGGGTCAGAAAGACACGTTCTAAATGCGGCTGGCCATCCATATGCACAGATCCCGCACCCTCAGGTTGAGATGAATTGGACAGGTCCTAACTTCTGTCTCTTATGATTCCCTAAACAACACAGTACAGGCTAACAGCTCTTTATTTTACAGTAAATATTTACAGTATTTATACTGTATTAGGTACTGTAAGTCACCCACAGATAATTTAAGTATAGGAGAAGATTGTGTAGGTCATATACAAATACTTAGTCACCTGATACCAGACACCTGAGCACCTGCAGACTTTGGTACATTTGGGGGCCGTCGAACAATACCCTGGATCCAAGGGAAGAACTGTGCATTCTACTAGACATAATATACAAGGTGATTTATAATATAAACTTCATAAGCAAAGATAAATAATATTCAGAGTAAAAAAAATGCAACCAGAGTCAACTGGAAAAATAACTATAAAAATAGGCACAAGTATAAAATTGGTTCCAAATTTAGCTTTGGGAATCATAAGTTGCCTTAGTTTCATCCAAGTGCTAAAGGCCCTCATGATTGAAGTAGCAAGTCGTTAGTGACTCCTTGCACAATGTAATTAACACAAAGCTTCTATTTAATTAACATCTGAAATTCAGCTCTTGGAATGGCATTGAATGCCGGAGGATTATAGTTTATTTTGAAGAAACTTCAGATTTACAGAAAAGCTGCAAGACTGTCATCAAGTTTCTTAATACCCTTTATACAGATTCACGAAGAAGTAAAATAAAGAATACAGAATACCAAAACGTCTATTTCTAGTCCTGACCTAATGAGTTAAAACTTCTTTTAGCAGGGCTGGGTATGTGGCCCAGTGGTAGAGCACTTGCCCAGTATGCGCAAGGGTCTAGGTTCAATCCCTGGTACTGAAAAGAAAAAAAAAAAAAAAAAGCTATATACATAGCATATATAGGCTAACCTTACCCATACACAACAATCCAACAAGTAACCAGGCTGAAATGAAAAGTTCATCTGCCAAAGTTAAACAGTAATCTGGGAAACGAAGATCCAAGAGCATCTTCCTTTCCAACATGAAGTATTTTTAAATACTTGAAGCTTTCTATATATAAAAACAACTACAGAGGTAAAAATCTAAGGTACAAATCTAGCAATTAAGATAAGGCCAATTAACAAAGGAATATGCCAAAGTGAATATGATTCCCTGATGCCAGATATGTATGCCAGAACCGAGACCTCCCCAGACAGCTAGGCACAATGGTGTATACCTGCAATCCCGGGTATTTGGGAGACTGAGGCAGGAGGATCACAAGTTTGAGGCCAACCTGGGTTATTTAGCAATGTTTTGTCTAAAAATAAAATTTAAGAAGGCCTGGGGATATAACTCTGGAGTAGAGTACTTGCCTAACATGTACAAGGTCCTAGGTTCTATCCTTAGTGTCATACACACACAACCTCCCCAGACCACAGAATGAAAGCACTCCCACAGATAAGCACTTTCTTTTTTTCTTTTTTTTTGTTTGTTTTTGAGACAGGGTCTCTCTATGCAGCTCAGGCTGGCCTTGAGCTCACTTGGTAGCCCAGGCTGGTCTCGAACTCGCAAGTACCCTTCTGTCTCAGCCTCCCAAGTGCTGGGATTATAGGCATGCACCACCATGTCCAGCTTGATAAGCACTTTCCATGCAGGGACACCCCCTTTTTTAGAGACGAAGATATTTTCAAAAGAAAAAAAAAAAGGTAAAAAGCATTCTGTATACAAGTTTTTACAATGAAAATTACAGGCTCTGGACTGGATTATGAAGCTTCTTTCTATAATATAATCCACACTGTACAAATGTTTTTAGGACATGATTTTTTTAAACCACTGAGGGAGTCAGGAAAAATACATGACTACATTGTGTACCTAAGCAACAGAAACCTTATTTAATACATATATATTTAGTACTTTATATATATGAACTAGTTTTCTAAATTATATACATATTTGAGGTAAAATGCAGAAAACTTGAACAGGGAGTTAGGAGACCTAAGTTCTAATCCACCAATTCATTATATAACCTTGGGTAGGGGGCTGGGGATTTAGCTCAGCGGCAAAAAGCGCCTGCCTGGCAAGCGCAAGGTCGTGAGTTCGGTTCCCGGTACCGGAGAAAAACAAAAAAACAAAAAAACAAAACAAAACAACCTTGGGTAAATTAGTGAAACTTTATGGATTTTCATAGTGCTATTTGTGTAATGGGGCAGTTAAAGCGGACAGCTTTATAATTCTTTTTCTATTTCATCTGCTATAATAAATATATACCATTTCATTGCATAGCATAAATTCTTAAGGTTATGAGATGTGTCCGTAGCAAGAAACAGAACTGAAACTAAACAGGAGTGGGTGGCTTTGATCAACGGCCTTGAGCTTCTTATCAGCAGAGATTACTCCAACAGAAAGACACTGCATTTTAAAATGCTAACACTTCTTTTTGGAGATTTACTGTGTTTGTCAGCACTGGGCTAAGCCCTTCCGCACACCAGCTCACTCAGCTCTCATCAGCATGGCTCTGGCAGGTATTACCTTCCCCTCAGGACAGACGGGCCTCAGACAGATCAGCCTGCCCAAGGTTATGCAGCTAACAAACAGCAAAGCTGGAGTGAGTCCAAAGCCTATTCCTTTATCCACTGTACTACACCAGCTTCTAATAAATAAAGCCTGAGCCAGAACATTCTAGACAACCAGAAAGTTACTCCAAATTAATCATGAGAATAAAAAGATTATTTAAAAGTGTATTTCTCTTTTCATAGTTTATGAGACAGGATCTGACTATAGTACCCAGCCTACCCTTGAACTTCTGGGGCCAGGGGACCTTTCTGCCTCAGCCTCCCTAGTAGCTGGCATGTGCCACTGTGACCAGCTAAACGTATGCATTTCCTAAAGAGAAGTGTATGTTTTTGTTATAAACAATATTTCCTCTCAATAAAACAAAAGAAAGTAGCAACAGTTACTGTGCCTGGAAGAGTCTTTTTTTGAGGGGAGGTATCAGGACTCGAACTCAGAACCTTACGCTTGCCAAGCAGGCGCTTGTGCTGCTGAGCTCTTCCAGCCCTGGAAGAGTCTTAAGGGCAGTACTATTATGCATTCTCCCGCCTTCAGCAGGCCAAGTTACCCTGCGGTGGCATCTGGATCACAAGAAATGGGGCTCTGAGAAGACAGCTCCTCCCAGTCTGTTACCGTCTTCAACGAACCCTATAATCCCTCAGTAGCAACTCGAGGTTCAGAGATGGGGCCCTAACACAGGTTCTCCTCCTGCTCCACACTAGGCCCCTTGGGTGGCAGAATGACCACAGCGTTACTGACTACCTCCTGCGGCTGTACAGCATATAAGGAAACAGGAGGAACAAGGTCATCTACGTACAAATTCACGCACTAAAAAATACCTAATGAGTCACTTTCCTCCCCCCAGAGGCACAGTGACCCTTTTCTTATCTGTTCTCCGTACATTTCCCTAAGACACAAGCTGTCTCTCAGAAGGAAGGAAAACCCCTCAGAGGACTTTCAAGCCTTCAAGCAGCCACTCCTATGAGCTGCGGACAGTGAGGGTATTACACAAAGGGGACAAATAAAGATCCAAAATATAAAACCACAAAGACACACTCATCTGGACAGGAGTGGATTTTATAAAGTAGAGATTTTAATTGTCTTTATTCCCCTTATAGAATAAACAAGTTTCTCTAAACACAATGGCCTCCAAGCAAAGACAGAATTATTCATATACCGTCTGGCCCCCAAACTTGACTTTGGTTTCAAATCTGGGCTGGTGTTCCCTAAAAGTTAACAGAAACAGAAAGCTGTGCCCACCACATGCACTGCAGATCTACTCTGCATCTCACTCAGCCAGAGAAGAATAAAAGAGCATTAGAAAGTTACCCTTCTTGGATCCGACCCTGGAAGAAGCACTGAAGAATTTCTTCACAGTGGTAACCTTGCGCGTCTTCTCGTTCGTTTTCTTTTCTTCAAACTTGGAAAATGTGAGCGACTGGGCCCCCTGGCTGCTCTGACTGCTGGCAAAGGCCTCTTCCTCCTCCCTCTGAAGCCTGAAATTCAAGAGAGGATTATAAATGATCTAGACAGTATCCAAGTTGCCCTTGTATCTAAAGGCTACCACTCAGTTCAGGAGGATCTAAAAATGTTATGACTAGAGGAAACATGCGCCCAGTGGGTCTGAGGTCTCTGATAGAAGGCCACAGTACATGTGCTTCTACAGGCTTCAGATGGGTACGTCTCTGTGTGTTACGTGCCTTGGGAACTGTGTTACGGTTATGTGGAACAGCCTAGCTCAGGAGTGGTGAACCTATGGCATGTGTGCTGTACCCAGCTGTTTGTTATCACCAAAAGCTTTAAAAGGTTCGCCATCACTGTCCTTTTCTCCAATAAGCTCAAATTGAGATGGAGAGACAGATAAGCAAATAATTACCGTCTAATGGCCAATTCTTATAGAAGAGAGCAGAAATCAAGTTCTGAGAGAACAGAGGACAGAACAACTTAACTGCTCGGGGAGTCTGAAGTTTTCATAATGGTGACATCTGGGCTTAGGGGAGAAACAGGATCCTGTGCGTGAAAAGAGAAGAAACCCCAAGTGTGAAAGTGTGCGCCGTGTCACAGCAAGCTCGGTGTGCGCAGAGGACCGAGAATGTGATGGGCTGTGACGCTGGTACATGGGAAAGTGCCACAGGGAACAGAGCCCTGGCCGTGAAGCCAACTATTATTCTGGAGTTCACTATTTGGCAAGAAACCAAGGGTGATTATAAGGCCCAAGAAAGTATCCCTATCAGCTCTATGCCTCAGAAAAATAATGCAAGTAGCAGCGTGAACAACTGAGCGGGGGGAGACTCATGACAGAAATAACCATCAGGAGTCCAGTAAATGACAAAGTTTAAGAGACAAAATAAAGGCCTACAAAACAGAAGCAGAAAGGATGAAATCACTAAGACTTTTCAGAACTGGAATAAACAGAACTTGCTCAGGGCTAACGGAGAGATTAAGAAGGGCTCCAGGGTGTCTTCACTAACTGGATACACAGGAGGCCAGCAGCTGACACAGAAGGACAATGCTGGGGACAGGAAAGGAGTGAATCCCAGCTCCCTGGGGAACTCTCAAGCACCCTCTAGAGGCTTCCAAAGAGCGCTGAGGCAGACAGCCGCCACAGCACTGAGGGCACGTGAGCAAAGCAGACTCGGTCACACTGCCAGCGGGACAGGGACTCCGAGGGCAGGCCCTGCAATCACTGTCCTGACAGGCAGTACAGGCACTTCTGAGTCTTGCTCAAATGCAAGAAATACTGTTGGATACCTGTACCGCGATGGAAGTGATCATCATGTACTGCGAATATGAACTAATGAAAATCAAAATTTACAAAAGGGTAATTCATGTTTTTAAAACTTCAAAATTGTTTGAGGAAAAGACTGTTGTAGGACATCTCAAGCATGGTCACAAGTGGAAGCAGTTAAGAAACAGAAACAAACATCAGAAGTGGAGGTGGTGCTAGTCGTAGGACGGGACAGGGGCACACCTTTCTCGGAGACAGAACCTAACACAGAGCCATGGAAAGGGAGGAGCTGGGGGGATTCATGCCCCATGGCCTCCACCTTCTTTGTGAGACAGGAGCCACTAATACAGTGTCAGGAGCCCGGGGAAGCCCGAGGAAACTGCTGATGCTCTGTGTCTGTATTTTCTGTTTGATCGACCACAGGCACCAAAGCAAGGAGTGAGCTTTATAATTCTGAGCTCAACACAGATGCTAGCGTTTCAGCCACTCAACACTGGCTGATGAGATACAGAAAACTAGCAGAAGTTGTCCGGCTGGTTTGACCTTCTTCTAATGAGACAGTTTTACAGTTTCTAGGGAGCTTGGCAAAGGCGTAACATTAGTCCCCGTGCTCACCAGCGGCTCCATCTTCCAACTGTGCCACAATCCTATCTCTAGGTAATACAAACTACTTTGACTAACAAATCTCATTTTTAAGGAAAAGTTAATTTCCATAGCACAAGGAAATCAACAGGTTTCCACTACTCTGTGCTTTACTGTTGCGCCACATGCCATGCTGGATGTGCACAGGAGTGAGGGAAATATGCTTCAGGCTGCCGTGCCCAGCCGGAGCTAGGTACAGCATACACGTGACCTCGCTTACTCTTCACCAGAAAGCATGCTATCTCCCCCTTCTACTGGAGGGCCTTACTGTCTAAATGAAAGAACTGGCTGGGCGTGGTGGCGCACACCTGTAATCCTAGCGTTCAGGAGGCTGAGGCAAGAGGATCACTGCAAGTTCAAGGCCAGCCAAGGCTATGTAGTAAGTTCAGCCTGAACTACACAGCAAATCCCTGTCTCAGAAAAGCAAAACAAAAGAAAGAGAGAGAGAGAGAAGGAGGGAGAAAGAGAGAAAGAGAGAGAGAGAGACAGAAGATAAGACAGTTACAACACCGTTACACCGCCCCTAGAGTCCTTTACCGCTCTGCCAGCTCCCAGTCTTCCTGAATCTGCTTTTGCCTGGCTTTGTGGTACTCCTCCCTCCAGCACTTGGAGCAGAAGCCCTGCCAAGCGGGGTTGCCATAGTAACCACATCCTTTCTTGCACAGGAGCTCCGACTGATCCACATGAATTCCTCGGCGTTCAGATTTAAGGCTCATCTTCTTCCTGCTAATCAAGGGACAAACAAGAACATGTGAAAATGAATTCCCTATCATCCTACTAACTAAAGTCATGGCAAGTGTGAACCAAAATATGCCTGAGTCTGTGAGGGTCAAGCTGGAAAGAAGACAGGAAGTCAGGAGGGACAGAAGGAAAGGTTAATAAACATCACATATTCCTAACATCCTATTAATAAAAATTTTGCTTATTCCCCACTCAAAATATAAAGAATACTATAAGAAAGGACTAATACTGGTTAAAAACCTAAATATACAACCAGAAACTGTGGTTATCATAAAAGAAACCATGGTGTTCGGGAAGCTTAATGACGTTAGATCCAGCAACGACTTCTTGGATCTGACACCAAAAACAGACAAATGGGATTTCTTCAAACTTAACACAGCAAAGGAAACACTCAACAGAGTGAAAAATGGAATGGGAGAAAATACTTGTAAACCATGTATCGGAAAAAGAGTTCATCTCCAGCATATAGAACTCTGCAACAATTAAAAAAAAAACACCCAAATAATTACATTTTAAAATGGACAAAGGACTTGAATAGACAAGTCTCCAAAGAAGACACAGAAATGGCCAACAAGCTGGGCATGGTGGCACATGCCTGTAATCCCAGCACTCAGGAAGCTGAAGCAGGAAGACTGCCATGAATTCAAGGTCAGTCCGGTCGACACAGTGAGTTCAAGGCCAGCCTAAACTACATAGCAGGACCCTGTCTCATACAAACAAACAAAAGGAAATGGTCACCAAACATATGAAAAGACATCAAAAGACTCAGCATCAGAGAACTACAAATCAAAACACGATGAGCTATCACTTCACACCTATTTTAGGATGGCCACTTTCAAAAGAACCCTGGAAAAACATGTTCTGATGAAAATGTGGGGAAAGTAGGACCCTCCGGCACTATGTGAGGGAATGCAGTGTTTTAGCCACTGTGGAAAACAGTATGGGCGTTCCTCAAAAAAAGTAGAAATATGGCCCAGGTCCAGAGATGCACACCTTAGTCCTAGCTACTTGGTAGGTTTAGACAGGAGACCCATTTAAGCCCAAGAGCTCAAGGCTAGTCTGGGCAAAACAGTGATATCCTCTCTGAAAAAAGCAAGAACAGAATTATCATGTAACCTGGCAATCCCAATTCTGGCTATGTATCCAAAAGAATTGAAAACAAGATCTCAAAAGGATATTTACACACTCATGTCCACTGCAGCATTATTCACAATAGTCAGAGGTAGAAATAAGCTGAATTATGCATAAATAGTGCCATATATATATATGTGCCATATATAAACTGTGCCATATATATATATATATATATATATATATATATATAATTTAGAAAACAATCCAGTCACATGCTATAAAACAGATGAATCTTGAGGACATTATGCTAAATGAAATGAATGAGTCACAAGACAGCTACCGTGTGACTCCCCTTACAGTGGCCAAACTCTTAGTGACAGAGCAGAGCAGAGCGAGCAGGGGCAGGGCTGGAGGGCATAGAACAGCAGTGGTGCGGCATGGGTGGAGCACTAGGCTTCCCAGAGGAAGCAGCTCCAGAGCCCACTGCGTCGCTAACCCTGAGAACGACTGGGATGGTAAGTTCCGCGTTCTTTATGAGAGAAAGCACATGCCCATTTTATTTAAAGAAAAAACTAACAAATCCTTCTTAGCTGCTACTAAACTAAACCTCTATAGTTTTGTCCCAAGGAACAAAGTGCACCCATCTTATAATGTTCGCAGGTATGTCCGACCAGAGGCTGTAGAGTTGCAATGGGTCCCTGGGCAGTAGTAACATGGCCCCACGAGGTTACAGACTTGTAATAGTATTGTGTGCTTTTCAGTCATATTTTCAGGGTCCCACTGTGCAGGGCTCCAGCAGACTGGGCAGGCAGGCACTGAAAGTGCGCAGCGGGAGGTGCAGTGCTAAAGTCCACTTCCTGCATGGGTCACACTCTCAGAAAACGGACCCTGCGTGAGCAGATGGCACTGTAAGTGTGGCTTGGCCAGCGAAACAGTTTTTTTGCAGCTGTAGTTAAGGAAGTACAAAAAATGTACCAACCTTTTCAGGCTCAGGGTATTATAATTACATATATAAGAATGCGAATACTAGGAAAGTGGTTGCTTGTTGCAACCGTTCAACTCAAAGAAAAATCTGACTGTGTCTCCTTACTAGACTTTTTTTCTTTTTGGTATTGGGGACTGAACTCAGGGCCTTTCCACTGGGTTACATGCTCAGCTCTTTAAAAAAAGATTTTTTAAAATTTTGATAAGAGGGTCAATAAATTGTCTAGATTGGGTTCAAACTTGTGATCCTCCTGCCTCAGCTTTCCAGAGTGCAGTTTCTTTTTAAAAAAAAAGTTTTTTGCGTTTAAAAAATTTTATTGATATCTTTTAGATATACATAACATTCATCCTAGAGATTTGTGCCTGTACATGATGTATCTTGCTGCTGCTTTTTTCCCCATTCCCCTCCCCTCCTTCAACCCCTCTTCCCCTCCTTATTTACAAAGTTCTGTTTCTATTTTTCCTTCTATTCTTTTTTCTTGTCCCTTCGTTCCTTTTCCCTTCCCTCTTCCTTGTTTCCCTCCTCATATGCATATTTTCCTCCCATTTCCCAATATCTATTATATTTTGGTCCTTATTTACACTTTTGGTTTCTCACAGCAGAGAAACAACACGGTATTTAAACAAGTGTGCTCGATTTCACTTAACAAAGTCCATCCGTGTAGTTAGAAATGTCTCAAGCTTTCAGTACACTTTTATAAGACTTCCCAGAGAAGATCATTGCTCACTGCACAATCATACCTTATCTGTAGCATCATTTTTAGCAGTACAATTTTTTGTTTGTTTTTTTGAGATAGGGTCTCACTGTGTAGTTCAGGTTGGTCTTGAACTCACTATGTAGCCCAGGCTGGCCTCAAACTCATGGTGCTCCTCCTGCCTCAGTTTCCCAAATGCTGGGATTACAGGTATGCACCACTATACCCAGCCTTTTGAACAACTATTTCAAACGATGTAGCACACAGTAAAATCAGATCAAAAATTTGACAAGCACCTTGAGAACTCACTGAGAACTGCATCTGCTTCTGTCAAACTCAACACTGTTGCATTAGTTTCACAAAGGCAAGGTCAAATATTCCATTAGTTGTATCTATGCTGTCCTATTTCTTATTATAATAAAAATACTTTTTTAAAAGATCTGTTACTCATATACATCCACTATATTCTCTATTGTATATACACTCAGTGTACTCCAGGGAAGCTGGAAGGCTGGGCACCTGTACTGTAAGAATACTCAGTACCGTACATTGTTTTCTCATAAGGACTTTGCTTCAATGCTATGAAAGTGAACACTTTCTCTCGGCTGAAGTAATTTAACATTTACCAGAAAGTGAGTGTAACTGAAACATCAGCACAGTTTTAATTGTTAAAGTGGCATTCAAGGCCTTTAGAAATCTAGGGCAAAGTAACAGAGCTATGCATCTGCTACCCCTCACCAAAGGCCCAATACTGTAGCAGGTACTTAATAAGGTTATTCAATTCTCAAAAAGCCAAATCGAAGTCAGGAGAACACTGAGGTTCAGAGAAATTTTCACAAGTATGTAAACCCTACTGAAACCAAGCAACACAAGGGATCTGAAACCAGTTAAAGAGTCCAAAACTCAACCTACAGCGTGTGCAGCCTGCCTGTCCAAACTCACACCCCTGCACGCAGATATCAATCACATCATCTTTTCCCAAATGAAGTGTACATGCCCATGCTTCAGCCTACTTTTTTTTTCTAGACTATTTTCCTGCTTTTTTTCTTTCGTTTTTGAGACAGGGTCTTACTATGTAGTTCAGGCTGGCCTTGAACTCACGGTGATGCTTCTGCCTCAGCTTCCCAGAGGTTACAGGTGTTTTCTCCTGCTTCCTTTGTCTGCCTCCTGCTTAGGTAAGAAGCACCACAGGAGCTGCTTTATCTCCCATGGAATTGGGCATGGAGATGAGGTGTTCCCTGTGGGTTCCACACACACACTGATGGGGCCAGTTTGTAATTCAGCCTTCATCTGGACAGTGATTAAGCTTCCTTTCAAGATTTGGCAGCAACCTAAGAGCCTGCAGATGGTTATCAAGTTAGAATATCATTTGGATAATAAGGAGAAACCAATAAAAATGTGTCAACTTGACTATAAAACCAGAGAGACTTATTTATAATTAACCTTATTAAACTATCAGGAAAACAATTGGGTTTTGCTGCAAAGCTATTTCCTGATTTTTCTTGGCAGGTTAAATGCAATAAGGCAGCCTTCACCTTTGGCAGTCAGTGGATCTTAACAATGTTTAACATTTTTTCAATCCCTATTTCTTTCTTGCTGCTACCATGTGACAGGTATTAGAGGGGTAAGCAAGAATCACTTAAGAACGCCTGAAAGTGTGGAAGAAGAGCTTTTCCTCTGCTGATACGTAGAAAGAGATAAAACTGATTTCAACGGAGAGGGAAAAATGCTTGTAGAAAACTTTCTTGCATCAGGGACCTACTAAGTAGAAAATCATCTCCCCAACCTGGTTGTGGGGTGACATGCCTCCAGGCTACTGGGGAAACTGAGGGAGGAAGACCACTAATTTGAGGTCAGCCTAGGGAACTTAGTGAGCCTCTGCCTCAAAAATAAAATTAAAAAGGCTGAAGATACAGCTCGGAGGTAGAGCACTTGCCTAGCATGAGCGAGCCCCTGGGTTCAAACCACAGTGCCAGCCTCCTAATCATCTACTCATCAAAACTGAAGAATTAACATCTCCATTTCGAAGCTAAAGAAACAAAAGAGATCTTCACATTCGAGCTAAAACCTGACATACTACTGTAACAAGCTCCACTCTTAGTTTTCCCCTCCACTGTATCACATTTAAAGCTACGTGTGCACAGCACCACAACTGCGACACCCACACTGGCATCACATGGTCTTCATTCTTCTTCACATAAACGAATGGCCAAGCAAGCAAAAGAAAGGTGG